AATGCAATTTCATAGAACTTTAGCTTGTCGTAGTAGATTAAGAGGGGGATTGTCACATAGAGGGATGAATTAGGAGGCATTTTCAAAAAATACCTATGCTTGAAAGAGGAAATTAGCAGGTATTTGAGTGAAGAAGATGGTGAGTCTCATGGTTAAAAATTTATCATGGATTTAAGGGATTGTCATAAAATTAAGCAATAAAGACAAAAATAGAATAATCCCTACTTCTTTCGTATTATGTATTTGTAACCGAAGAAACAAAGCTTCCTCTCATGAATAATGCATTATGATAATGGGTAATACTTTATCAAAAGCAAAGCTCCCTCCCTCCCATGGTAATACATTATCATGCTAATTGGTAATGCATTATGATAATGTATTATGTGTGAACATCATCATATTCAGCTATGGAATAGAATGGATAATGCATTATGTTCATATATGTAGAAACAGACATGAATGAAAAGTGAAGGGTAAAATGGTAATTATATGTATTATTTATTTTTACATAAAATACAGTTTTAAAATATCAACTTCCATTTCTTTCTTACTTAATTTTATTTTACCTATCAACTATAAATTCTACTTTATTTCTTTCTTACTTATTTTTTATTAGATCAATTCTCACATATTTCATCCATTTCCTTTCAATTCCTTCCAGTCCTCCATCGAGAGCATAGTAGTGTTAGCGTAATTAACTATTATTTTTTTAATCAAATTGACGTGATTTTCTAAAATAGGAACATATTTCCAAACAGACAGATAGAGTATTTTTTAAATTTTATATCACACTTATGAGTTATGAAATCTTTCTATGTGTCTCAATTATTAAATACTTGAGTATTTAGTAGGATATTTTCTGTCTGAATATATATATATATAATTTGAACAGAATCAATAAATACTGGGCCACCATCAAGACAATCTCATAAAATATGTTGGGCCACAGGCGGATTTGACACACAAATATTTTATACTATGATCCAACAACTCAACATAATTAGCTATCTTTGTTCAAACAAAAAATCAATTTGCTCTCGAATTATTAATAACAAGAATTCTTAATTCAAATAAATGGAATTGTTTAAACGAAAAAAATGTCTTTTTTACAATAAAAATGGAAAGAGTCTTTACGTAAATATTATTTTACAATAAAAATAATAATTAACTAAATAGAAGTGCCTAAACTTCACTAAAGTGTCTCTATATATTGCAAAAGGTAAAGTTGAATTTAAAAAAACGTCAATAAAAATAATATTTGTTAATTATTATTTAAATTTATTTATAAATATTCAATAACACTATATATTATCACATATCAATTATCGAAAATGTGTGCCCGCGGTTATATGTACTAGTATCATTTTAGATAATGACTAATTTTTTAAGACATCGATATAAAATTATATATTCATAGTCAAAGTTTATTAATATTTTAAAATATATTTATCAAAATAAGAGGAAAAATATTGATAATGTATTATTAAAAATAAAATAAAAAATAATTTCCTGTATTGCAAAAAAATAAAAACCACCATATAACATGATAATATATATTTAAATGACAATTTTATATTCTTTTTTACATAACTTGCCATAAGTTAACTATGTGTGGACTTTTGCTTGTACATAAGATTATTTTTAAGTATATTTTCACATTTTTTATTAAAATATTTTAGAAATTTCATTATTATATGTCAAAAAAAAAAAGACTAGCAACTTTCACATGTTAGATATTATTGACCACGTTAAGATCATAAAATACTATAGTCAGGAAAATTAGTTTACAAAGAACAAATGACATTCCGTACTTAATTATATACAAAATTCATACAAATTTTTATAATATATTTTTAAAATTGTATATTAATTCATGTTCTTCAACTAACGACTCACTACAGTACCTTGACCAAATAAATTATCGGTCCAAATTTCAAAACACTGTTTTCTCTTAAACTTCTTCCAATCAAATACATTCGAACATGATGCAGTTATAAATTATAATGTGGCAATCGTAAGTTACCATTTCCAAAATCATAATATTGCAGTTTTTTTTTCTTTAGCTAACTTTAAATTGAAAATTATATATATATTAGTAATTTATAGGCAAAGGATAAAAAATAAATAAAAATAAAAATAATAAAATAAAAAGAAGATATAAGCACTGGTGTACGTACTTATGTAGTTGAAAACTGAAAAGGTTAGCGTTTATCAAGTAATAAAGAAACATCTAAAATATTTTGTTTGTTTCATTAGTTACAAAAACTCATTGGTGTAAACGTTAAGCATATATTTCCAACTATAAATAGAGCATTTTATTCCCTTATTAATTAGGTACCGACAAAGCATTTCAGTGGCCTCAATAAAACTCCATTGTTCAAAAGATCATGGCAACATTCACCAACTTTTGTCTAATGGTAACCTTCATGGCTAGTGCTACTTTGTTGGTCAAAACAGGAGTTTCATATGAAGATTATGACCCATCAGAGGGTCCTCTCCCTCCCTTGACTAATCTTGAAAAAAAAATGTTGGATTGTATAATGAAGTTGCATACACCTTGTGATGAACTCTACATGTATGGTACAATATTTACTAGCAATGAAACAGTTAGCAAAGATTGTTGCACTCATATTGTCCATGACTTTGGAAAACAATGCCATGATATAATGACAAATTATATTATAAATTTACCAAAATACAAAGCAAATAGAACCCTATTTTCGCAAAGAAGCAAACAAGTATGGAATGAATGTAGCCACCCTTCGTTCCAACTAGATGAAGGTTTAGGTCAAAGTTTTGCTAGTGATCCTAGTTCTGTTTCAAACAGCTCAAGCCCAAGCCCATCACCTGAAAATTATTTAGAGGATTGTGCAGCTAAACTATATCCAGACTGTGGTAATGAGTTATATTCTGCAATATTTTTTGACAATGATACAGTTAGTAAAGAGTGTTGCCAAAACCTTGTTGTGGACTTAGGGAAAACTTGCAATGATAAGATGACTATGTATATTTTGGAATTACCAGAGTTTAAGCCAAATAAGACTCAAATTTTGCAAAGGAGTGACGAAATTTGGAAAGGATGTAAGGATTGATTGCACTTTAGTCCACCATCTTTGAAGAAATTTAATAATTTGAGTGCTTATATGTTATTGCAATAATTATCATAATGTTACATTATTGGAATAAAAAAATAATGCAGTTCACTTCTATTCTCTCACAATTTTCTATTAAACTAATACATTATCGGATGATGGATCATAACTATCATCCACTTTTATTGGTGAACAGTTATATAAAATTTTACATTTAAATCTCGAACATTAGTTGGATGTTAATTTTACTATAATATAAGTTTTGTGCATTGTACAAGGTAAATGTCTATTTTTTATATAATAAAATTCTATAATAAGTAATTATAGTTAATATATAAATAATATTTTAATTAATATTATTGAAATAAATATATCTAAATATGCAAATTATATATTTTACTACAATGGGCAATTTACATTAGCACTTGGTTATTTTTTTTCTATTACCAATTTCTTTTAAAAAGTTATTGAAATTTAATGTAAAAATAAAGATAATATATGATAGATTAAAAATGTTAGACAATTGAATAAATTTAGATAATAAGATAAATAATTAACTCTCCATTTTAACTTAATTGAGAGAGAAAATAAGAGTTAATCTTTAAAATAATGAACAAAAATTTTAAATATTAAGTCACTTACTAAATATTTGTTCACATAATTATTTTTTTAATTGTGTCATTGGCACGAAATATCTATTACTAAAATTAAATTTAAATCTTGAATAATTTGATTAAAGGATCCAAATCGTTATTACTTATATCAATCAATATTGTTGTTTATGTAATTATTTGATAACAAATATATTTATACATCTCCTCATTAATAAATATACATCTTTCCTTTTAAGAAAAATAAATTTTCTTATATGCCCTTAGATTTTTTTTCTTTTTCAAATAAGTTTTTTTTTTTTTTGCAAATCACTAGGATTAACCTAGTGATTGAGGGTTGAAATAAATGTACATGGACTTAGATTTGATTTTCATTGTCAATATTGTAATCTTTCCTGTAATAAAAAAAAAAAGTCTTAATTATTTAATGATATGGTTCAATTTTTAAATAACTTCAAATACTTTGGTGTAAAACATTTTATTTGATCAGAGAATTTACAAAAAATTAAAATTCAATCATCTGTAAAATTTCTCAATTATAAAATTTCAAATCCTCCTACAAAAGTAAAAAATTTAAAATTCTTTTTCTTTTTTCATCTATATCCTCTCTTTCAAAATCAACATAAAAAATATCAATAAATTTTTAAAATTATTTAGTATTTAAATTTTTTAAATTATTAAATACTATCTAATATTATTTTAAAATAAGTCATTAATTATTTAAAATTAACTAATATTTAATTTTAAAAATTAAATCTTCGAATTTCAATATATATTTATTTAAAATTAATTAATTTTATTTACAATAAAAATTAAATTGTGACATACAAACTAAAAATTTAAAATTTAAAAAATTGGATTCACTTTTTCAAACCCGTAGACTTACACCATCGCTTATGCAAAAAAAAATAATAATAATAATAATTAAAGAAAATGTGTTTACAAAAGTAACAGTCTGGAATGAGTTTATTGACAAGGCGACGGGGATCAATCATATTGAGCAGAAACATCACCCTACCATGCGACTAATGTGAGGCCTTTTTCGACAACGAATTAATTATTGAAGTTTGCCGCGTCAACTCACAGGAAATTGGTAAATATTGCCACTGCAGCTTAAAAATTATATATTTCTAGAACCACAGTTTAATTAAAGCAAAATCCAATTTTACGGGGACAACCAAATTAAAGTGATTCTAGCAGTTCTTCAGCCCAAAATTGGTTAAGTCTGAAGAACTCGATATATTCAAGATTTCAAGTCATACTTGCTTACTCTACCTCCCATCTAGTTCATTAAACATTTATCAAACTAATTTTATGCATTTGATTGCAACCATTTGGAGATTTGTTTTACAATCTTCCGACTTCAACATGACATTCGTTGCTGATTTTGACATTTGAAAAAATTATTTTATTTGTGTGAAATAAAAAAATGTATCTATTTCTGTTTTTTGCTACAATAAGTAATACAATAGAGCTTTATCTCACTAATAGGTGGGATCAGAAAAAATAAAATAGCATAAAAAAATTCTCTGAACACATTTTGCTACTAAGGTGAAAATTCTGCACAAGTGACTTTAAATCCATGCTTGGTCGAGTGTACCACTTTATAATGAAGAGACACCGGCTTGAACCACATGTTTATCTGCGTATGGACAACGAAACGCTTTTAGAATTTCAGCAATAAAATTAGAGGAAAGTAAAGATAATAGACGCGTCTGAAATTGAATTCCATATAATACAGTCCACATAGAAAAGCATGTATAACAAAAGCTTCTAACCTTAAACTAAGGAAGAGTCTGATCTCAGATCAAGCTGAATAAAAACTACCCATCTATCAGCAGAATCATTTAAGACAGTTTTGAAAAAATCGTATTCCCTGTGTCACGAAATCTGAAGATCAACTACAAATCTCCAAATGAAAATTAAATTAAGGAATAATAAAATCAAATGATACAAGATCTTAAGGGACTGAAGGACTACCTGCAATGCAAAAGTAATATCACCCTCATCTACTTTAGGCGACACTCTTCTTAATTTATCCTCTCGAGCTTGTCCTAATTTAATAAGGCCCTGCAGTTACAATATATATTTCATCATTTCTATTTTCACCTACTATCACTTTCCCTCATTGATAAAGCACGCTTTAAGACAAAATCCATCCGGTTCCAGGGAGCTACATCTAGAAATCCAACATCAAATGAAATTGTCTTAAATACCTGGTCATTTAGCACTCTGCACATGTTTGAAAATTCTAAAATTCCTAAAAATCCTGCTGGAGGAATTATAGATGATTTGCATAACTCCACGTACGATTTATACAACTGCATCATTATTTCAATTTAGAAATCAATGTACAGGTTGGAATGGATCAAACCCTTGAAAGTGTCTGAAACATACCTCTCCAAGGTTTGTATCTTTCTTGGCACCAAGAAAATGTTTCATAGATGAGCAGAGTATAATCTGCAAACAATACATATCCAGAGAAGTTATAGCCGGTACCTAGTATAAAAGGTGCTTCTGCATTGGGTTTGGTTAATTTCAGTGTTCAGTTAAACAAGCAAAAAAGGTTGACTACACGTCTAGTACCTTAATTATTAGAAATAGAAGCTCTCTCATCTAATTCCTCCAAAAATTAAAACACATAACTTCATTTTGACTTGTATGATTATTTTTTATTCATTTTACCTCTTTGTTTCTTCTCCTATAAGTACTTAGAAAAAATTGTCCAAACTTAAGCATACTCAGATCTTTAGATTCATTTGAGTATTCTACTTAAAAATTTAAACTGCCTACCCTTATTATCATACAATCAGTGACTATCAATTTCTATCATAGTTCACATGGTTGATCAAAGGTCTCTCCAAGTTTCAAGTTTATTGGAAAAAGGCATAAAATCAATATTATACATGCAAAACTTTATGACTTTTTGCTAATGATTGTAGTTGACAAGACACTTTCCCTTCATCTTATTTAATATGATGTTTTGAACATTCAATAGGACTTTTGTGATAATTAATAAGACTCAGATTTAGCCTATTACATATTCAAACCTATGCTAGCATTTAAAGTAGGTCAAAAGTAGTTAGTTCCACTAATAGAAAGCCTCAGCTCTGGAGTTTAGTTCACGTTACCTGCTGATGATGTGGAAGAGCTTGTATTGTATCCACCACCGGTGATCTATATGTCTTGGACAAGGTAAGAGCCATATGATCAGTCCTTACCTGCAATTTGATTTGAGGATCTCAGGCCTTTAGTACAGTAGTAGGAAGAGTAAACGAAGAAAATAACTTTACTTGTTTAATAAATCTAAAATTATTGTATACAGTTTATAGTGGTGCTCAGATGTCCTTAACAATTTCCTAACAATAGTAGACTCTGATTAAAAAAAATAGTTCATTGCAGCTATAACATTAATCATACAGAACGCTATTACGTTAAGTTGCCTATACCTAGTATGATCAACAAGTCAAATTAGACTAAAATTAATGATCTATTTTCATGACAACACCCGAGAACAACCATCTGAACTTAAAAATTAGAACACAACTGGAAATGTATCCAAACCTACTAATGAATCAAGAGATGCGTGATAAATGCAGATTAGTTCTCATTACATTTTTTTCCTTCCTTAAATTGTCCACAATTTTACTTCAGGGCAATACTTTATAATTATCTGCAGGTGCGCACAAAAAATTATAATCATCTTCAGGGCAACAGATTTTTGAACACTTACAACATCAAATTCTCGTTTCTTGATAAAATCAGGAGATGTAGCAAGATTAAGAGATTTCTCTTCCAATGAAGTATTCAAATTGCACGCAGATTCTCTAATTTCTGCTTCAAGCATCTCTATTGCACTCCTGCAAGGGAAATAAACTGTTAAACTTGTTCTTTTGCTGGATTTTGCGCTGGCTAAATTGACAAAGCAAATTGTGACAACAATCTAATACGAATGATACAATTTAGGGAAATGAAATAGGAAGCTTACTACTGGCACTTTCTCAATCCCTAGCTAAGTATCAAAAATATTCAAGAACAGTGATAGCGTTGAAGAATGTAATGAAAGTGTAACCCAGTATTCACGATACATGGGAACTCTCCTCTAATCAAAAACTTGATCCAATCACACCCCTTAACTAACTTATATTTTCCTAATTCATTTCCTCTCACCAAATACATTTAACTGTATTGGATAGTTATTATTTTGACTAACTCACTAGGTTCTAACCCCCTGCAAGAGGCTTAATAGGTTCCGGATTGAAGTTTAAAACTTTAAATATTGTATCTTAAATTTTACATTAAACAAAAACAAGGGTTCTGTAGTTGTAGTAAAGTTTCATTTAAACCCTTTCTATCAATAGAATGAAATAAGATAAAATGAACACGTAAGACGAATAAGCTTGAATGCACTAATTTATCATGAGCATAAAGTGCAAGTAATAATAATAATAATAATAATAAATGACAGACCTGCATATACATAGAGCATTCCGCATGTCTCCAGAAGCTGCAGCAACTTTCTGCAAGGTGGAATGCCAATTAGGCTTTACATGTATATTATTTCAAGATGGACTGCAAAATAGCACTTTCTTATGCTCCTACTGTCATTAGTCTATTTTTTTAAAACATAAAACAGCAAAATGGAACTTAATGCATCTTACCTGAGAATGAAAAAAAAGTAGCATAGCCTAGCATTATTTTTCAAAATTAAACTTATGTGAGCAATGATAAATGGACTCACCCTAGCACACAGTTCCAGGGCTTGCTTTTGGAAGACAGTGTAAGGAAGTTCCTGGCAGTGAAAAAGAAATTATTAACAAAATATTCATCAACAAGAAACGTAACATCTGGTTCACATTTTTTCCTTCAACAAGACAATAAACTCTCTAACAAAGCATCACAACAATTTTCTTCCAGTAGCCATGATTCAAGGTGAAGGCAGCACAATCCTATAACTCATCTTCAATAACAATAATAATCTTACATTTAACCTTTCTTCAAGAATCTTGAGGATCTGATCTTTAGTGTAAGCTCGAAAATTTACAACAATAGGCTTGCCTAGAACAAAACAATAGAAGAAATTAAAAAGTGCCCAATGATGTACTCAAATAGAATAGTTCTTAATATGCATGATCATTGAGATGCAATATCCAAAGAGTTTGAACTAAAATGGAAATTTTTATACAAACTTATTGCATTGATTTACTCACAATTTAATGATGTAAGCCTTGGAAGAAACCGATCAGCTAGATCAATTGCATTTGCTACACCTGTAAAAACCAGCACAATAAGTCCAGAATGACCCAAATAACTTGCTAATCACGAGATGGAAACAACAAATTTTCATTCATAAGAAATTTACCTATTAATATACATCTAGAGAAAGGAAAGGTGGTGAGCATGAAAAGATCATGGAGAACGGCTCTGTCTTTGGTTATCAAATAATCTAATTCATCAGCCACTATTAACCTGTTACAAGGAATGCATATTACTTCTTTGCTAGCATCCAGGTAAAAAACCATCTATGGCTGTCAAATTATATTATATTCCCTTTCAAAATTTCTAGAATGCCATAGCCCAGGGCAAGGATATGTTTCTTACGTCATCTTCTTCATAGAAGATTTCTGAGAATACATGTTCTGAAGTTGCTGTAACGGTGTGGCTGAAACCTTTTTACCCTGAGGTTGGTTTAACTCAAGTATCTGCCAGAAAAAGCCAGCAGGTCAGTCAACTAACAAGTGACAATATTAACTTCAATGAAATGTGCTCAGCATCCCTACCTTTGTAAAAATATCAGATGTATTTGCAAGGGTTGTACAATTTAGAGATAAAACATCTGGTCCTGGAAGACCTGCCTGCAAATTATATTGACAAGGTCACATTAGTAAAAAGAACAAAAACACACATTACAGCTTAGATAATTAAAGATGTATCATAGTGTTATGGTATACTTTAGCAAATTATAGAGAATTATCAATTACATTAAGAGTTTGTTTGGATATAAGTTCATAAGAACTTTTAAGAGCTTCCTTACTAAAACAGAAATGTTTTCAACAAATAAACTATTTCAAAAATTATATCCAAATAGACTCTAAATGAACAAACACAACACACATTATTCTTCTCTATGGTTAGAGAAACTAATCAAACATACCAATGGCATATTAGACCTAACAATCAAGGACAAATCAACATTGAGTACCATCACAATTCACAACGGCACTAAAAACAGCAACAAGAGCATGAAACCAACAAGTAGAACACACCTCGGTAGCCCAATTGAGTAACTGCTCTTTCACTTTCTCCATAGACAACGATTTCCCAGTTCCGGGACACCCGCATAAGTAGAGACTCCCAGCCTTTTGATGCTCAACGCAGCCCTTGCAGAACCCTAACACCACACTCTGCTCCTCCTCGCGACACACAACCGAAGAAGGAGCAGTGGACAAGTGCAATGCCAACTTCACCATCTTCAACTGCTCACCGTCTATTAATTCCCCAACACAATCAATTTTCCATTTCAGGAAAAACAAATAAATAATTAATTAATGGACGAAAGAAAAAAAAAATGAAACTCACCTTTGGGATTCCACTTGGGCTTCACAGCTGCCGGATCGGGTTGGTTTTCGTCGGCGAATCTGATAGCCTGCAAGAGAGTGACAAGAAATGGATTAATTAGGCGAATTGAAAGAGGGGAAAGAG